GTAAAACTGTCAAAGCTTGTTATAATCAATGTATGGTATTTTTTATTATATTAGTATTATTATGGTGTGTTCATATTTTAGTTTGTTACTTACGTAATGCACAATGTGCTACAAAATTACAGAATGGGTTCATAACTAAGTATAGACAGATATTTTGTAAGCTACACATTATACAGTAATGTTCACAAATAATTATTCTTTGGTATTTTGTCACTTAAAACAAATTTGTAAATGATTTCTTTACAGTTTTTGGGATTTTGGATGACAAAGGATACATAGGAGTGGAGAGATGGGAATCAATCTCTCATGAGATGAAAAAACAAAGATGAAAGGATTGAAGGACATAAATGCGCAGGGATAAGGTGGCAAATGAGATCATGGGACATCAGTGCGACAGAAACAGAATTGTGCAGGAAAGTAAATTTCCAGGAACAGGGCTGGTGGGAAGTAACACACTACATTTACTCCATTACATTTACTTAAGTAACTATTTGAATAAACTATATTTGCAGAGCAGTATTATTAGTGGTAGTGCTCCCTCTTGCTTTTATATAACCTTTATACAATTTTATCACATTAAACCATGTTCTTTTTTTATGCTTCTTCTCTCTTTTTTCTGTCTCTCTTTCTTGTTAATTCATTTTCCTGGTCATATTGTGCACGATGAATCAGTATCAATCACCTAAGAGACCAAAATTATTGTTTTTTTTTCCATAACCATCCATCAGAATGCAATGGCATTTGAATGTCCTTTAAACATCTTCTGATTTTTGACAGGTTTAACCTTTATATCGTCATTTTCCACTACACAATCAAATCCCAGAGGATAAACTCAAGGTCTGCTCATAAATTATTTACAGAAAATTGTGTTTGAAAAAATAGAAAATAAATGCATTACGATTTCGATTCCATGTCTTCAACCCTTAAATTCTCAGCTTATTAGTCACTTAATTCATCTTAAAGCTTATTATTCAGTAAGTACGATGAATTATTCAGTAACTACAGTGAAGCTAATGGGAATGGCGTGTCATTACGAGTGTGAGGAATGTAAGTCAGGACCCGCTGACGGCTCCTGGGAGATTCAGAGATTTAATTTGATGGATTTTCTGCTTGTTTTGTTCACTAGAGATTCATTAGTTTAGTTTGTCAGTCACATTAAGTTCAACAGCAGCTCAGACGGATGAATTCATGGTGGAGACAGGGGGAGGAGACGTATTTCCCCTCCAGACTGTCATGTTTATAACATTTAACATTGTTCGATTTTTATTATTTATCACTTTCTTTGTCATTTGTAACTGATTTATTACATGTTTTACATCTAATTTATTATTTTGTTCATTTTTGTTTTAGCAAGTTTACTTACATGTATTCTAACACTTTTGTTATAATCGGCTGCATCACTTTTCAGGGTTCTACAGCAAGTTTAAACAGAGGTTGAATGAAGATATAATGGTATATAAGTAAGGAATAAAATATTTAGAGGTGTGCTGTTATAGGAAAATAATCAACAACTAGGTGTTGTGGCCCAACATGAGCCAGATTTAGTGTTACCACCACAAAGTTTATTATTTTCAAATATCAGCAGCTTCCTCTTACATAACGCAATTTGCAAACTATTGCATTTTTAAATAATTAGAGAATGGCATTTTATAATTTTTATCCATTTTTAGTTACATTTAACATTAAACTCTACTCTCACTTTCTCTTGAAATAAATAAGACAAAAAAAACTGGAGTGTAACAATATACTCCAGTCACGATTCAATTCGATTTGATTCGATTCTCAGAATATTTTGAACGAAATTTAAATGAAGAAAAAATTATGACTGAAAATACTCCTTTTTTCTGTATAATAAATTTCTGCATAATAAAACAATGCAAAAACAATGTGCATTTTGTCTGTATAAAACTAAACAGAGTAAAAATTGCTACGATCATTGGTTTAAGATTGTAAACAAAATGTACTACAAAATGTCACCATATCTTAAAAATAAATAAATTTATAAATTCTCCCCAAAAATTTTATTGAATCAGCAGTGTCTGACCCAAGGAAAATGATCAAATGAAATATAATGAGGTCCATAGCAGAAATAGAGTTCCAAACTCAGCTAAAATGCCCGATCTCTGTGGCCTCTTTCTCGGGCACCCTAGATCTCAGCGGCGTGGGGATGGTGTTGTTTGAAAGCTACTGAGGAGCTCTTTTTAAAGGTTATAACATGGTTTAGTAACCACTTATATAAAGTATAATGTGTGTTGGTTATTGCATTCTGGACTTATCAGTCACATCACAAGTGCAGATAATTCCCTTCTCGGTAATGAGAATCTTGCAGGTTCATCACAAAAAAACGTCATCACGTGACCAGTGTGCTCTCTATACATATTAACTGTGTGGAATGCACAGATTGGGACCTCTGGTGCTCAAACAATGCAACTGCATTACATGCATAACTAATAGAATGCTGATTTCACACATTTCCACAATGTACATTGTCACTTTTTTGCATCACAATGCAAAAAGAATGCTATTTCCCTTGTTACTGAGAAACCGCAAAGCCCTCTCTCCTGATCAACATCTCCTGACTAATCAGAACTGAGAGCTATGGTATAATCCAGAGTTTTGTCTTATTGACATTGAATGGTTTTTATCTTATTATTGTCATTAAAACCACAGTTTGTTCTAAAAAGTTAATCTGTAAACCTGTGTAATGGGCAACACACTACTACTGTTGTCTTTTCACTAGATAATTTCTTGCTCTTATAAAAGGATCTATTTAGAAAACTGTTTTACTTCTATTGGAGTCATAATTTTGTTGCATAACAGTACTTTTACTTGCCTAAATGTTTTTGGCAACTACTCAGCATGCAAACACTGATCTACTGTATCCGTAACAAGCCAAGCAAGCCGACAATTAAACACACAGTACACAGAAAGATATACTGTGTTAGCTAATAAACACAGGGAAAGACTGTGACATGATTAATTATCTTATAGGGGAATTCCACCCAATAGCTGAATCCTGGTTTTGGTCCAGCATTGCTTAAGAAATACTATAATCTCCTTTCATACTTGTTTTCTCTGATCAACCCCAATTTACAGTTACCTTAAAAACACTTCAAGATATTTGAGGGTAAAATTTTCAAACATCCCACAAGGTCCCATATCTAGGTCAAACTGAGAGAGGAACTTCATCCTGTCTGTTACTAAACTTCAGAGCAATGAGTATACAAACACACAAACATGTACACACACCTGACTCATGTACTCAGTGTATTCATTCTACCTTAATATTATATTTGGAAATCACATATAAATACTCAAATGAATACACTTGTAGTACTTTTAGCACTACACTTTTTTAGCCTTTAGTGCTCACATTGCCATTTAGCATTAAAATAGCACGAAAACATCCAAACAAATCTATATAGATACCAAGACCCAATCATATTTGGCTGAGGACTCTCTAGTCTCATTTGATATTCATGTATTAATCATTTTTTAAAAATCTGATCTAATGAAAAATAAGATAAATTTTGGCAAATGAGGTTGCAGTGCATAAATCATTAACTTCATAACATTTGCTACAAACTAAGTTTTCAAGATCATGACTGTAGTGGAAAGAAATTGTCCACTTTTTATTTTTATTTTGGTTCACCACTTTCATTTTTAGTGAAGCAAAATTTTAACACAGTAAACCACACAAGTAGTATAGAAGAGGTGTAGCCTACCTTGGACTTGCTGTGGACGCCAGCGCTGGGTCCGGGGACGGTGTCAGGTGACTGCTGCCAAGACACAATCAATAAAAACAAACAGAGTCATAATGCTATTTAAACAGTACAGTTCAGTTCAGTTTCCACAGACTGATAATGTGATAATGGCCAAACCAAACAAGTGCTCTAAAACCACCTCCTATTCTTCTATACATACAACTGAGAAAAACACAACAGTGCCCAATAATAAGCGTGTAGAATTGCGTACAGCACCAAGAATAATCCACATTCATTTGCAGAGGACAAATAACGGACAATATTGATAGTTGCTATACAAATATGAATAAGCATAAACACTGAATGTTGTACCTGCATCAAGGAATATACAAATGCTACTCAGACTGAACAGATAATATCTTCTAAATGGGTACAAATACAGATACGAATAGAAGGTGCACTTTTTTAGAAAGCTTGCCAGAAAAGTTCATAGGATATATGGCTGAGACTCGAAGTTGTGCTTCGAGATGCAACAAATGAAATCATGTGAGAGGTAGGTTTTTACTTTCATGTGGACGCAAGCAGTCAGATATGAAGCTCGCAGGACAAAGAAAAATCCTATTTATTAACAAAAACGTGTTAGTAGCACTGTGTGATGCATTTACAACATCCTTAGTAACTGCCTGGTCAGGGTTGCAGTGCTTTAAATTAGGCTACTAGTTTGTTTATATTTTGGGAAATAGCACCAACTAACTGTGTAAGTGGGATTACAAAAGCAGTCCTGCGTACATCTGCAGTAGAGACTGGAGTGATGAGGAACTGTCAGAGCCAGTATTCACAGACAGCGCTGGCATTTCTAGGGTTTTCCAGCATTCCCAGAGGCGTAGTGTGAGGGTTGATATTTAACTTTTTAAAAATTCCTGTTTAGGTCACACCCACTTCAGGTTTAAACCCAAATACAAATACAGATATGAATATTTTTAGCACTAAACAGATACAGATACAGATCAAATTGCATTACTTTGGTATTAGTACAGTATGCTCACTATGGTTAGTATGTTAAGGCCCCCGAGAACACCCCTGACAAAACAAACAACAAACAATAGTTATGTTGTTGCTCCTCTTTCGGCTGCTCCCATTAGGAGTCGCCATAGCGAATCATTGGTTCGCGTATATTTGCTTTGGCACAGTTTTTAACGCCGGATGCCCTTCCTGGCGCAACCCTCCCCAATTTTTCTAGGCTTGGGACTGGCACTGAGAGCACACTGTTGCACCAACCCCAGTGGCTGGGGTTGGTTCCCTGGCCAGAAATCGAACCTGGGCCACAGGGGTGAGCGCGCTGTGGCCTAACCTCTAGTCTTCCAGGGACCCTAATAAACAAAAGTTATGTAAAAATTAATTCATTCATTAATTAGATTTCAGATATACGGTACTGTGCAAAAGTCTAATTTTTTTACATAACTTTTGTTTACTGTTCGTTTATTTTTAACTTTTATGTTTATGTCTTCTGCATTACGGTGTCAGCAGAAAAAAAAAGCAAATTTTAGGTTTCCAAACATTCATTTCCCATTAAAAATAAATATCACAAAGAAAGGTTTGAATGCAATTAAAGAAAGGAACATTTTAACTCTTTATGTTCATGTCATAAGCAATTAGACACTCAGGGCTTTAAGAATTTGCAGTGTTTCGTAAGTATTTCTTGTTTTACCTAGTCTACTAGGTTTAAACGTTATCATTTTATTGTGGCAGTTGTATACAGTGTTTTACTATCAACAAAGCTTTAGTTGTGCTGTCCGTTTTATCTCTGTACCATTGTTATTGTGGAGAGGCGTGAATTGTTTGCCCAGCAGGGGGCTCACACCCCTCCCCCTCTCCCATCAGCCTGCTCACCAGCAGCTAAACACAGAATCACGATACTCTACACTCAGAAACCCAACAGTGTCCGGACTAATCTTATAACAGACTTGCGGCGATACAATAATTAATTTCTTTATACTGACTGAAAATATCAGATAAGTTGATTTCCATTCTGCTGGTGGAATGGACAGCCAGTGCACTGTGAGAAGGTAAAAAAAATATTGAAGGCTGTCTTGTATAGGAGCAAGAACCTGAAACAAGTGCAGCAGCCAAAGTGTCCAGGGGAACTGTGGGCGATTCTCCATGATGCCTGGAAAAACTTACCAATTTCCTCATAAAACTGCACAAGTGTACCTCATAGAACTGACGCAGCTTTAAATGCAGTGTGGTCATACCAGAAATTGACTTTACTATAGTCAAAACAGAATTTGCTTTACAGAATTTCTTCACAAGATTTTCGAGCGGTCCTGTATATCCCTAAATACAATTTAATTATAAGCTACAAAAGGTCCTATTTCAGACTTGCCAATCCCAAAGAGGAATAATGGTGAAAGTAAAATAGCAGTAAAAAAAATTTTTTTTTAAACTATTTTCTGTATAGTGCTTTTCCAAATGTTTTATGTCCCTCGTAGAAAACATGAAATGTTTCTACATGACCAGCATTTTCAGTTGAACTGCCTAGGGGAAACAAACAGTCTTTTAAAATCAGTATCACTCTTCTAGATCTTTCTAATGATCCATTGTTGATCCATTTCATTCATTCATGTCCTCACTGAAAGCTAGTAGATAGTTTGTTCCAATTTCTCTAAACATCCCGCAGACTACTGCAGACGAATGCTGGATTCAGACTCTGTCCCAGATGCTCAGCCAGGCAAGTGCACTTCATGATTCAGTTTTTTTACACCTCCAGCCATGTGCATACAGTTTCAAATTTACTGTGTGTTTATCGAGAGTGAAACTGAGCTGTGGAAGGACCCTCTCGCCAAACTCCGGTGTAGCAGAAGATAGTTAGCGGTAATAAGTGGTAATAAGCAATATTGCCAAATCTTTTGGTTAAAAAAATTGTAAACCCTGATTACACCGAAATGAGCCTAAACCTATGACAGACATATCATAATAAACACAACTAAACCTGATCAAATGGAAAGAAATATGAGTGGAGTTGCAGAAATGTTTGTTAAGGGTATTGTTTATTATTTATACCACAACACTGTTGAATTTTTGATTCTGGTTGGTCAGCTGGTGTTGACAGTAACTCCGGCTGCTTACATAGGGACTTGTACTGTAGATGCTCCACATAACCACATTAAAAACATGTGGAACTGTTGATATGGTGATGATTTCTATGTAGAGACATTTATTTAACATTTTTGGAAGGAGTCTCCAGTGTTAGCACTTTGTAACAGTCAGAAGTAAAGCTGTAACTTTAGGTTTTCTGACACAGGAAAGTCTTCAGGACAGAAGACGTTGCGTTTTGCAGTTTCTCATCTGCATTTTTCAAGTCTTATTAATTTCAAGGAGGAAAAAAAGAAAAGCTGGTGAGAGAGTGATCAGGGAATGGAACAGCTGCTATAATGAAAGTGATAAGAGAACCTAACTTGTTTCACAGATGTTCCACAGCATTAACTCTAACTATAAATGCATAAAAGGTAAATTTTAAAAAATTGGCAAATAAGAGGAATAAAACACTTTTGGTTGTACTGTTATGGGAAAATAATTAATTTGGAGTGGTAACAGTAATTCCCCTTCATCCCACCATGTAGCTGATTGTTTTCCTTTAACAGCACAGGCCCAAGTGTTTTATTTCTTACTTAATGTATAAGGTGTGAGGCAAACAGCTACACTGTCTGCTGATGAAGGAAGAAAAAATTCTGAGAATTTGTAAAAATCTGATGGGAAAGCATGGGATTAAATTCAGACTACCCTGATTCAAGGCTAAATCAGGTGCCCCTCTAAAACAAACTGTTGAAATACAAACACAGAAGCAGAAAGAGACAGAGAGAGAAACAGAGAGATCATATCAACACAGCGACATCTCTTCTGGACTAGAGTCATCTCTGAGGACACGAAAGCATGTGTGGGCTTTGTTTTGGCTGCTGTGTAAAAGGTGTGTGTGTGTGTGTGTGTCAGCTCAGCTCTTTATTGATTTGCTGTGGGCAGAGGGCACAAAGCTTGGCAGCGAGAGCAGCAGACAGTGTTTGGGTTGAGGGGGAATTGAAGCACACAGGCTGGCTACTCAAGCACAAAGATATAGAACAGAAAAAGCATCAAACTTCACACGAAAGAGTCTTCACACGAAAGAGCGATCTTACAGGAAAACAGACAGGCTGGCGCACACACACGGTGCACATAATCAGCTTCCTCTCCGTCAAGGACTCATCCTCCTCTACCTTTCATCATCCCTCCCTCTCTTTTTCTCTCCTCCAGTCCTGCGAATCATGACTAGCATTACCTTGCACCTGGTTATTTTGCACATCTGGATTATATCTGGATCGTATCCTGACAGCATGTCAACTACATGCATTTAAACTCGTCATCAAACGTGTCTCCAGTTAATCGGTGCGGTGACCATGACTCATACAAAAGAACCCCTAATGTTTTTGAGTTAGCTAGGGTATGTGGATGGATAATGTTTAGCTACTGCAACAGCAACTTCTTAAATACCTTATTTAATATCTTTTTTAACACTAACCAAGCTAGCTAGCAATTTAGCTATTTATGTTTAGCTACTCTAATATTAAGCTTTCAGTAATATCTAACACCAAACAGCTACATTTAATGCCTTATTTGTGGCACTATTAGTTAGCTAGCTATTTATATTTAGCTACCACACTCCAAAGACAACCTCTTACTGTAATGCCAGCTAGGATAATTAACAGCAGCTTATTTAATACTTTATTTTATTTAACACTAACCAAGCTAGCTAGTGATTTAACTATTTATATGTCAGTGTTACCAGAAATGTCTTATGCTCGCAATACCTAGCTAGCTATATTCAATAACTTATTTTATAGCTCTATTAGTTAGCTAGCTATATATATTTAGCTTACATACTCCAAAGACAACCCCAACTGTAATGCCAGGTAGGATGGTTAACAGCAGGTTATTTCATACCTTATTTTATTTAACACTAACCAAGCTAGCTAGCAATTTAGCTATTTATTTATAGCTAAACCAGTATTAAACCTTCAGTATAACCTGAAATTTCTGACACCAACCAGATAGCTATATGCAGCCTAAATACCTTATTTTGCAGCTCTATTAGTTAGCTAGCTGTTTATACTTAGCTAGCATACGCCAAAGACAGCCTGTCACTGTAATGCTAGCTTGCTATTAAATAACATAGCTGGTTCTAATTAGAGGCTGTCACTAGAGTGTAAATAAAATTAGCTAGCTATATTTAAAATCTTATTTTAAGGCTCTACTATTTAGCTAGCTATTTATATTTAGCTAATATTCTCCAATGAGAGTCTCGCATTATAGCACCAGTTAGTTTTTTGGTTTGTTTTTGTTGTTGTTGTTGTTGTTGTTGTTGTTGTTTTAAAAGGTATCTCAATTTACCTATGTTTAGCTTACAGCTTTACAGCTTTCAATGCTTTTTTCAATTAATTTGAATCTGTGATCCCATGTGACCTTCATGAAAGGAACATAGTTAATTATGTCCTTGATTTCGTTTAGTACTCCCACATGAACCCATTGCTTTTTTTCCTTCCACTGGCATTTAAACACTGACGCTTGCCTACAAACTGAAACCAGACACCCCACCTACCTGAAGGCACTCATCCCCCACTCTACACTTTAGCCTACAGCACGGTGCGATTTCACCCACCAGCACTGAAGATACAAGGAAGATGTGCATCAAGACTCTCCTTTGTACCTGCACCCTGTTTTGTAGCTGTACTAACTTCTCTCTAGGAGAGTTTTAGCTCTATAATATTCTTAGACCATGCATGTTTTGCACTAGCATGAGGACAGCAAGAAAGACATTTTTGATGGAGAATACAGAGCATTTCTGTAAGTTGCTCTGGGTAAGGATGTCTGCTAAATGCTTTAAATGTAAATGTAAATGTAAATGTAATGTAAATTTCAGCTTGTGGCACTGTATGTATGATATGGTTTCCCCTGTTTTAAAGCAGTTGCCTGGCTACCTGTGAGATGACCTGCAGTTGCACTGAAAACAATGACACTTCTTTCTCCTTCACCATTCTCACTCCAATTCTTCTCTTGAAACTACGGCTATGCAATATCTTCACATGCAAAGATTTTAGCCAATCCGTATAAACTCATTCCGATTGCAGACTCCAAATGAACTGTTTATATGTATCCTAAACTGTAGACAGTTTCAGTTTATACTGTATGTACGTTATACCGTATGTAATCCAATCTAGTTATGAACATGCGGGGAGCGAGGTTTAGTGTCAACGTTACCATGACAACAAGGAGCACGTGAAACCAGTCAACTCGTTAAGCTGCTTAATCGCACTACTAAACATGTAACATGAACTATGTTT